CCTCGCCCTGCAGCAGCACCTGCCACGGGAAGTCGCCGGGCCCGGCGGCTCGGCCCCCGAAGATGCGGCCTCCGCGAGCGTGGCCCGTGCGCGCCGACAGCCCGCAGACTGCGGAGGAAACAGCGAGGGCGGGGCGGTGAGAGGAGCCCTCCCTCCCCTCCCCCGCTTTGCCTGGGCCCCACTTCCGCCCGCCTGGGGGGGGGGGCGTTCTGGAAGCATTGACCTAGCCCAGTTACTCGGGGTCTGGCTGATTGATCCGAACACTAACGTTCACTAGGTAGAGCCAGCCAATTCTGCTCTGTAACGTGCTGCTCTGCCTGTAATCCCAGCGCCTCTGGAGGCCGAAGTCTGAGGTCTGTGAGGCTCTTAGAAAAAGCCCAAGTGGCACCGTGGCTCAAGTGGAAGAGCGCTGTGCCTTCAGCACAAAGCTCAGGGACAGCGCCCAGGCCCCAGTAAAGAAAAGAAAACAAGCGTGTAAGTTTCCTATGGCGGCATTAAAACTAACAAACACTGTGATTGTGTTGGCCAAGTATAGGTTTGCAAAAGCTAATTTAAGCCAAATAACACAGGGGTAATGAATATATTATTACCGATCAATTTTTTAAGAAAATCTTTCTCAATTATTATTGTTGGAGCCAATTCTGGTATTAAAAAAAATACTGTTAAAAGGCAAATTGCATTAATGTTTAAAAACCTAGACATCATTGAAAACAATTGCTTAGGGAAATAATGAAGTTATTAGCTTTTGGTTTTAATAGCATTTTTAGAGAGAAGAAAAGTAACTCAACAGAAGAACTCATGTTTATAAATGTATAAATGGCTCAAGATAATTTAAAAAATCATTTAATTTTTTATGCCTGCCTAGTTATAAGGTCAAAAATAATCAAATGACTGATGCATTCAGCCCCTTCCAACCTCTCCATATGCAAAGGGGATAATGAGAACTTATTATTTGGAAATAATAACTTAGTCTGAGAGCCAAGGACCCAAGTTCCATTTCTGCCTACCACAGCGAAAGCCCTCCCCCTCCCCCCTGGCCAATTAGGAAGCTGGGGGGAGGGGGGAGGGATAAATGGGTCCATTACCGGGCTCACAGATTGGGAGGGATTTCTCTCCTTTGGAGCTCGTCCAGAATCCATCAGCCTCACACACGTATTTGCCTGCAAATCATCGCAAAAGCAAAACTTAGCCACAAGTAGGAGGTGGCTGTCGCGCTTGAACACCCTTGAAAGATGTTGATTCCTGAGCCTGGGGGAGACAGAGGCCTCTGGATAACCATTTTACATGATTTCATACATAAGAGATCTCTGCATTACCATGTTTACTAGCAAAGTGGAAACCTTTTAGATGCGTACCTTGAATATGTATCAAGATCTCAAGTACTTAATGATAAGGTTTTGACTTGTTAAATTAAACCATTTGGAATATATTGTGTGTTTGTAGTCGGCATTTACCAGATAAGATGTTTTCAGATTCTCACAAATTGACATTAAACTCACTTGAGCTGTAATAATTCACTTAGTGGGTGGGAGAAAGGCCTTTCTATCCTTTGTCTCTCTAAACCAAAAAAGCACGGTTAAGGTTTCTCTCCCCAACACCCCCACCCCAGCCCGGAGCCCTGGCTCACTGTGGTTGCTCTTCATGGTGTAGAAGGTCTCTCTGCAGCTGTACTGCACCACAGCCTTGTAAGTGGTCACGTTAGGCTCCGTGATGTAGTTCACTCGGCCATTGGGTAGATCATCAGGAGGACCGCAGTCTACAACTGCAAGGAGACAGGGAAGGAGGCGTCCCGTGTCCACAAGGCTGGCTACCCCTGCGAAGGCCTGACCACGCCAGAGGGGTGCGGCAGTGCAGAGCTCCCAACTAGAATGTGAATGGCCCACACTGAGTGGGCGTGTCTCTCACGCAGCGTCTACCTGCGGGTGCTCCCTGGGGAAGGGGTGTGCGTGCCTCCCCTAAAGACGGGAGTCAGGAGCTCTCCTGAAACAAAGTGCCAGGGAGGGTGACGCCAGCCTGTCACCCCAGCAAGCCACGGGTGGAGCTGAGTCCAAAGCCAGCCTGAAGCTGGGACCTGTAGCTCAGGTCTGTAATCCTAGCCACTCAGGAGGCTGAGATCCAAGATTGTGGGTCGAAGCCAGCCCGGGCATCCAAGTCTGTGAGACTCAAGTCCACGTAATCACCAGAAAACCAGAAGTGGTGCTGTGGCTCAAAATGGTCGAGCAACTAGCTTTGAGTAAAAAAGCTCAGACAGCTCTCAGGCTCTGAGTTCAAGCCCCACCCTTGACAAAAAGAAAAGAAATTTGAGCAGTCATATTGGTGAGATGTAAAACAACAAAAACCAACACATGCATATGTAGATGCAGATGGAGATTTAAACACCTTTAGGAACAATTGGAAAGCTTGCGTGTGAGCTGCACGCGCAGAGGTGGAAGGGCGGGTGTGCGTAAATGGTGGGAAGCAGATGAAGTCCAGAGCAGGCAATGGAGTCCTGGCAGCGTGGGGGATACAGACTACGAAGGAGGAGACCTCAAATCCTGCCTTTGAGCTGGGCATGGAGTCCAGGCTCTCATGAATGCCAGCTACTCCCAGCCCTCTTTTTTTTTTTTTTTCCTTCAGTACTGGGGTTTGAACTCAGGGCCCTGCATATGCTGGCCAACGGCTCTGTACTTTTAAGCCACAGCTCTTTCTGCTTAAATTATGTTTCAGGCAGGGTCTCACACTTTTGCCCTTGCACCTACAGACCCCCGATGGCTGAGATCACAGGCGCCCGCCACCACACCCAGCCAGGAGCCACTGTGCCCGGCTGGAAAAGAACATTTTCAGACTGCATGTTTACATTCTCCAGGAATCTGAGGAAGAGAAGCAAATGTAGGATTTGAACCTCTGTAAATGGCATTACTTGAGGGTGGGGATGGGGGAGCAGAGGATGCAGGCCGCAGGGGAGGGAAGGAGGGTGGGAGGGAGGAAGGAAGGGTGGGAGGGAATGGTCACCACAGCCGTACTGCTGCACTGGGGCATGGGCCGGTCCCAAGATCCATCTTTCTGACAGACCGCAACAAACGACTTCAGGGGCAAAGAACCCTAGAGAGGAATTCAGAAAGTAAGTCTCTTGCTTCCACTGTCCGGTCACTTGCTGAGCCTGAGCCGCCCAGTTCTTCCTCTGACCCCTAACCACACTTGCGCAGTGACAGCTGGGTAGCCCAGCCCATGGCTTACTCATGGGACACATTTGTAACCAAAAGCTCTGCAGAAGCCAGGCACTGGTGACTCACACCTGTCATCCTAGCTACTGTGGATCATGGTTTGAAGCCAGCCCATGAGACTATTTCCACATCGTCATCAAAAAGCTGGAAGTAGAGCTGTGGCTCAAGAGGCAGAGAGCTGGCCTTGAGTGCAAAGCTAAGGGGCGGTGGCCAGGCACTAGTTCACGCTCCAGGACAAAAGCAAAACACAGCAGTGCTTCTCTCGCCAACACCCTGGCTCATCGTCCGTCTGCGGTGTACTGACGTGTGAATCACATGCTAAGTCTGTGCTTTCCTCTATAATCCTAGAGTCCGTCAGCCCTCAGAGTTCCTGCTAAACCTCCCACATCCCTTTTTCTCCCCTTCTGTAGCGCTGGAACTCAGAGCCTTGCTTGGGCTAGGCAGAGTCTGGAATCCTTGGTCCTCCTACCCCTGCCTTCTGAGTGCTCGTACCACCTCTCCCTTTCTCCATCATTGCTTTATTTAATTGTGTGCCTGTACTGATGCTTGAACTCAGGTCCTCATGCTCTCCCTTGACTTTTTCACCCAAGGCTGGTGCTCTACCTCCTCAGCCACACCTCTACTTCTAGCTTTTTGCTGGAGATAATCTCACAGGGGCCAGGCATTGGTGGCGCACGCCTGTAATCCTATCTACTCAGGAGGCTGAGATCTGAGGATCACAGTTCAAAACCAGCCCTGGCAGGAAACTCCATGAGACTCTTTTTTTTTTTGCCGGTCATGAGGCCTGAACTCTGGGCCTGGGCGCTGTCCCTCAGCTCTTCAGCTCAAGGCTAGCGCTCTACCACTGGAGCCACAGCGCCACTTCCGGCTTTTTCTATTTATGTGGTGCTGAGGAATCGAACCCAGGGCCTCATGCTTGCAAGGCATGCACTCTACCGCTGAGCCACCTTCCCAGCCCCTCCATGAGACTCTCATCTCCAGTAAGCCACTAGAAAACTGGAAGCAGTGCTGTGACTCAAGCAGTAGAGCGTTCGCCTTGAGCTGAAGAACGCAGGGACAGTGTCCGGGGCCCAGAGTTCAAGCCCCACAACCGACAAAAAAAAAAAAAAAAAACAATTTCACAGGGCTGAGAAATGTGTCTGAGTGGTTGATTCCTCTGGGTTCGATTCCTCAGTACCATATACACAGAAAACTGGAAGTGACACTGTGGCTCAAGTGGTAGAGTGCTAGCCTTGAGCAAAAGCAGCTCAGGGACAGTGCACTCAGGCCCTGAGTTCAAGCCCCAGGACTGGCAAAACAAAACATACAAAAAGAATCTCACAGAGTTTTTTTATTTTTTTTATTTTTTTTTTTGGGTCCGGTGATGGGGCCTGAACTCTGGGCCTGGGCGCTGTCCCTCAGCTCTTCAGCTCAAGGCTAGCGCTCTACCCCTTGAGCCACAGCACCACTTCCGGCTTTTTTCTTTTTGCTTATGTGGTGCTGAGGAATCGAACCCAGGGCCTCAGGCATGCAAGGCAAGCGCTCTACCGCTGAGCCACCTTCCCAGCCCTCTCACAGACTTTTTTGCCCAGATTGACTTTGAATCTTGATCCTCAGATCTCAGCCTCCTGAGTAGCTAGGATGACAGGCGTGAGCAGCCAGCACCCAGCTATGATTTTCCCCCATCTAATGAAAACATGAACAGATCTAAGGAGCTGCAGAAAGGAGCCTTGCCCAAAGTTTGCCAGGTGAGAGTTGCTTTGCTTTGTTTCCTGTGGTTTTGGCCTTGGCAGGACTCTGAGCGATCCCGCAGCATCTCACCATTATTACTTCTTACCTCTGGGATCCAGTGACAATTTAGAAGAACATAGGGAGGAGGTGTTAATGTCTTACCTGTGCCCCTAAAGTGATACACTAAGCATTTTTAAAAATTATACTCCCTCTCCCTTAACAGAGGTCACTATTTATAACTTTGCAGATTGTGCTGTTTCCAGTCCATCTGCTGACTGAAGGGGGGGGCGGTTTCCTGGGAAAGCTGTCAGGTGGCCAGAGGGCCTGGAATTTCATGCCAGGCACGATCACAGGGCATAGGTAACAAACTTCCCTCTCTGCTCTTTTGGCCATTTTACAGATAGTCATTGCAATGTGTGAAATGGGCAGAAATGCTGCCCATTTTAATCAGCAGTTTTCCAAAAGTAGCTTAAAAAAAAAAAGTAATCCTAGCTACTCAAGAGGCTGAAATCTGAAGATCATGGTTTGATGCCATTACAAGCAGAAAAGTCTGTGAGAGACTAACCGGCAAAAAGCTGGTATGGGAGCTATGGTTCAAGTGGCACAACACCAGCCTTACATTTTAGGCACAGTGTGCAGAGCCTGAGTTCAAGCCGCAGTATTGGCACAAAAAAAAAAAAAAAAAGCATGGGACGGGCGCTGGTGGCTCATGCCTGTAATCCTAGCTATTCAGGAGGCTGAGATCTGAGGATCTCGGTTCAAAGCCAGCCCGGGCAGGAAAGTCCGTGAGACTCCTATCTCCTTTAAACCACTAGAAAACCAGAAGTGGCGCTGTGGCTCAAGTGGTAGAGTGCTAGCGTTGAGCTGAAGAGCTGAGGGACAGCGCCCAGGCCCAGAGTTCAAGCCCCGCAACCAAAAAAACCAAACAAACATGTGGCTTTAAACAGCTCACCAGTAGAACATGGGCTTCCTGTGGCTGAGGCTTTGAGTTCAATCCCAGCACCAAAACAATATATTAAAAAATTGTGCGGGGGGGCTGATGACTCACATCTATAATCCTAGCTACTCAGGAGGCTGAGATCTGAGGATCACGGTTCAATCAGCCCAGAAAGTCTATGAGACTTTAACCACTAGAAAACTGGAAGTGAAGCCGGGTGCTGGTGGCTCACGCCTGTAATCCTAGCTACTCAAGAGGCTGAGATCTGAGGATCACGGTTCAAAGCCAGCCCAGGCAGGAAAGTCCGTGAGACTCCTATCTCCAATAAACCACCAGAAAACTGGAAGTGGCGCTGTAGCTCAAGTGATAGAGCGCTTGTCTTGAGCTGAAGAGCTGAGGGACAGTGCCTAGGCCCAGAGTTCAAGCCCCATGAGAGACAAAAATTAAGCCAGGCACCAGTGGCTCACACCTGTAATCCTAGCTACTCAGGAGGCTGAGATCTGAGAATCACGGTTCAAAGTCAGCCTGGGCAGGAAAGTCCGTGAAACTTTTATCTTCAATAAACCACCAAAAAGCCAGGAGTGGAGCTGTGATTCAATTGGTTGAGTGCTAGCCTGGAGCAAAAATGTTCAAGAACAGTGTTTAGACCCTGAGTTCAAGCCCCAGGACGGGGGGGGGGGGGGGGGGGGTGGGGTGGGGAGTGGGTATGGTGGTTCAAGCCTATGATCCTAGCTCCTTGGAAGGAGAAAGTCAGAAGATCAGGATCTGACGCCCACCTGGGCATAAAAGGTCATGAGATTCCGTCTCAGTCAACGGCTGGGTGGAAGATGGTCGCCTCTTATCCGAGCCTCAGGTGCGCCATGGCTGGGCACCGCAGTGACCTCTGTAATCCCACAGCAAAGGGACGCACATGTAGGAGGGTTTAGTTCAGACCTTGCCTCAAACGTAGCCCGTGGATAAAGGGGCCAGAGGCATGGCTCAAGCCGGAGAGTGCCTGCCTAGAAAGCCCGAGGTCCTGAGTTCTAGCCCTGGTATCACCAAAAATAAAGGCAGGGTTGCAAAGAATAAAACTCCATGGCCAGCCTCATTTCCTTGATTTCTCCTGCCTGTGCACTGACAGAAGAGACCGGCCCGCCTTGCCCACGTGGGGTGGGGTGCTTAGCCTTGTAGCCCGCTCACCTGCAGAAGCTCACCTGCAGAAGCTCGTAGCCAGTCTCACAGGAGACGGAGAAGCTGTCCTTCAGGATGTACTGGGACTGCACTGGTGAAATGCGGCCATTAGGTGGCGCCCTCGGATCAGGGCATGGCTGGGCTGCGCAGAGGAAAACGGGCTTAATGGCCTGGCAGGTTTGTGAGGCCGTGGGATCTGAGAAGTACTTGGTTTACAAATAAAGCAAGATGTGAAGGGAGATTGCCCCAAGTATTCTGGGGTTTGAACATCTGACGGCAGAGATGAGATTACACTCTGCGCCGTACATGTCACTCACTTTCAAACCAAGAGTGTAACTTCTAAGAAAAGAACAGGACTAGCTGGGCGCTGGTGGCTCACGCCTGTAATCCTAGCTACTCAGGAGGCTGAGATTTGAGGATCATGGATCAAAGCCAGCCTGGGCACGAAAGACTGTGAGACTCTTATCTCCAATAAACCACTAGAAAACAGGAAGTGGCGCTGTAGCTCAAGTGGTAGAGCGCTCGCTTTGAGCTGAAGAGCTGAGGGACAGCCCCCAGGCCCAGAGTTCAAGCCCCACACTAAAAAAAAAAAAAAAAAGAACAGGACCATGTGGGTTTAAATTGCAGCTGGGGGGGGCGATGGGGGGTAATGGGGGTGGCCTATGGCAAGGCTGGGGGCCCTAGGTTCAGTCTTGCTCACTGCCAAAAAATAAAATTGCCAAGCACCAATGGTTCACACCTGTAACCCTAGCTACTCAGGAGGCTGAGATCTGAAGATCGTGGTTCAAAGCCAGCCTGGACTTTCGTAAGTCCATGAGACTCGTATCTCCAATTAACCACCAAAAAAATCTGAAGTGTAAGCCAGGAGCTGGCTGCGCACACCTGTAATCTTAACTACTCAGGAATCGGAGGATTATGGTTCAAACCCAGCCCAGGCATGAAGGTCCATAAAACTCAAATCTCATTAACCACACACAAAAAAGGCAGAAATAGAGCTGTGGTTCAAGTGGTAGAGCATTAATCTTGAGTAAAAAACCTAGGAACAGTGACTAGGCCTTGAGTTCAAGCCCCAGGAACAGCACAAAAAGAAACAGTCAGACCGACCTGCAGGAGCTCATACCTACATCCACCCTGGAACACACACCCCAAATAGCTAAGCTGTAATGTGGGTGCTTTTTTTCTTTTTTTGTCGGTCATGGGCTTGAATTCTGGGCCTGGGCGCTGTCCCTCAGCTCTTCAGCTCAAGGCTAGCACTCTACCATTTGAGCCACAGCGCTACTTCTGGCTTTTTCTGCTTATGTGGTGCTGAGGAATCAAACCCAGCCTCATGCATGCAAGGCAAGCGCTCTACCACTGAGCCACCTTCCCAGCCCCAAGTTCTATATTTTGTAACTTTGGTACATAGCTATGGGAAAGAAAAATGGGCACATGGGTAGGTGGGGGGGGAGATGATGAATGGATGGATGAGAGCAAGGATGGGTATGTGGGTGAATGGAGAGGTGGATAAGTGGAGGAATTGGGTGTGTGTGTGGATAGATTAACTGGTAGGTGAGTGGACAGGTAGGTGGGTGGGTGGTGGGTTGGGGGGATGGGTACCTGAGGGTCGCTGGGTGAATACATAGACAGATGATGGGTAGATGGATGGTGAATTGGTGGATAGGTGGGCGGGTGGATCGCTGAATGGATGGATAGATCTAAGAATACAGGATGGATGGGTAGATGGGTACAGGGGTGAGTGGATGGGTAGATGAATAAGTGGATAGTGGATGGGTTGATGGTGGATGGTGGATGGGTGGATGGGTGAGTGGGGGGGATGGGTAGATTGTAGATGGGTGAGTGGGTAGAGGGTGGGTGAGTGGATGGTGGGTGAGTGGGTGGATGGTGGGTGAGTGAATGGTGGGTGGATGGGTGAATGGATGGTGGATGGTGGTGGGTGGGTGAGTAGATGGTGGGTGAATGGATGGATGGTGGATGGTGGGTGGTGGGTGAATGGATGGATGGATGGATGGTGGATGGTGGGTGGATGGATGGTGGGTGGATGGTGGATGGTGGGTGGTGGGTGAATGGATGGATGGATGGTGGATGGTGGGTGGATGGATGGTGGGTGGATGGTGGATGGTGGATGGTGGGTGGTGGGTGAATGGATGGATGGATGGTGGATGGGGGTGAATGGATGGATGGTGGGTGGATGGTGGATGGTGGGTGGTGGGTGAATGGATGGATGGATGGTGGATGGTGAATGGATGGATGGTGGGTGGTGGGTGAATGGATGGTGGGTGGATGGGTGGATGGTGGGTGAGTGGGTGAATGGGTGGATGGGTGGATGGTGGGTGGATGGGTGGATGGTGGATGGTGGATGGTGGATGGTGGGTGGTGGGTGAATGGATGGATGGTGGGTGGATGGTGGATGGTGGGTGGTGGGTGGATGGTGGATGGTGGGTGGATGGGTGGATGGTGAATGGATGGATGGTGGGTGGATGGTGGGTGGTGGGTGAATGGATGGATGGATGGTGGATGGTGAATGGATGGATGGTGGGTGGATGGGTGGATGGTGGATGGTGGATGGTGGGTGGTGGATGGTGGATGGTGGGTGGTGGGTGAATGGATGGATGGATGGTGGATGGGTGAATGGATGGATGGTGGGTGGTGGGTGAATGGATGGTGGGTGAAGGGTGGGAGGGCATATAGATGAGTGGATGGGCACATGGGTGGGCACAGAGAAGGGGAGATGGTTGGGGAGAAGGCTGGGTAAGAGAAGGGAGGAAGGAAAGGATGGTGCTTCATCGCTCAGACCCGGTCCCTTCCTCAGCCTGGCGGGAGCCTCGCCCTCTGGGCCCCTGGCTGTGGAGAAGGCACGGCAGCTCGGCTTCCTGCCGGGCTGAGCCCTGCTCACCCGTGCTGGTGTAGTGGAGCCTCCAGCCTGTGTGGTCCCCAGAGTCATCCGTGACAAAGGTGATGGTGGCCGTGTTGCTCTGAGTCTCGATTCTGCGGGGCGGTGTCGTCCCACAGAACGGGCCGTGCTCCTGGTGGCCTGTGCGAATCTGAGGAAGGAGAAGGCCTGCGGCCTCTGCCCTGCACGGCCCAGCCCAGGGGCAGCAGCGGGGCGGCAGCGGGGGCAGCAGCGGGGACAGCCCAGGGGCAGCAGCGGGGACAGCAGCGGGGACAGCCCAGGGGCAGCAGCGGGGACAGGCCAGCCGGCCACACAGGTGCCGGGAGGGCGGGAGGGGCGGGAGGGGCTGCTGCAGGACGAGGGGCACGGAGGGAGAGGGACTCGAACCCATACCTTGAGGAAGTCGTAGGGGCACTGGGCTTCTGGGTGCGTTTCCACATCAAAGGAGCCCACAAAGTCCAGGCTGAGGCGGAAGCCCTCCTCCAGGCGGATGCTGTAGGTGCAGCTGGAGAGTTTGGGGTACGGCTCTGGGTACTCCGGGCTGCTGAGCTCCCCGGACCTCGCAGTGAAAACCTGGCCTGAGCACAGCGCTGGGAGAGGGAAGAGGATGGGTGGCGCGGCTGTGCCCTCGGGCTGGGCCGCCCCTGGGAGGCAGGGCGGGGCAGGGCAAGGGGCCCTAGGCCGGCCCAGGGCTCTGCACCCCCAGCCAGAGGCCCAGGCGGGGCCCAGGGCCCCCACACCACAGCGGATGAGGGGGTTGCTGGGCGCCGGTGCTCACGCCTGTCATCCTCGCTACTCAGGAGGCTGAGACCTGAGGATCACAGTTCAAAGCCAGCCCAAGCAAGAAAGTCTGTCCATGAGTCTCACATCCTCAATGAACCACCAGAAAACCAGAGTGCTGTGGCTCAAGTGGTGGAGCGCCCGCCTTGAGCTGAAGAGCTGAGGGACAGCGCCCAGGCGCTGAGTTCAAGCCCCACCACTGGCTAAGGGAAAAGGGGTGGGGGGGTCCCTAGGTCTGAAGCTTAATGGGAACACGGCACCTGAGTCACAGGTGCCCCTACTCCTGCTCTCACTCCCCCCTCCTCCAAAGGCAGGACACCCCGAGTCACAAGGCAGAGGGAGCGGGAGAGAAGAGGCAGGCGGCGCCTCCACCGTCCCCAGGGGAAGGGCCTGCCCCCGCCCAGTGCCTCCCGCTATGTCCCAGGCCAGTTCCTGCAATGCCACGCGTGTCCACCAGGGGTCCCCACCTCACTACCTTCCAGACCTTCCAGACCAGACTGCTACACACACACACACACACACACACACACACACACACACACGTCACACACACGTCACACACACACACACAGGTCACACACACGTCACACACGTCAACTGTGTGAGCCCCGCACCGGTGACTCCCGCCTGCCCTCCTAGCTGCTCAGGAGGCTGAGATCTGAGGGTCAGGGCAGGAACATCTGGGAGACTTCTATCTCCCGCTAGCCATCACAAAGCCTTAGCGGTGGGGCGCGTGGCCGCGGGAATCTGGGCCCTCTGGCATGGTGGCTGACCTAGCCGCACACTCGGTCCCTCGGCGGGCCGGGCCCTCTGCCAGCATGTGGAGAGGGGGTGCAGGTGTCGGACTGGAGGCCAGCAGGAAGCGGAAGCGGGGCTCCCAGCACTGCCCCTGTTGTGGGCTGCTCCTTGTGGGGTAGGGGCCTGGCCCGGGCCGGGGGGGGAGGGGGAGGAGGGAGAGCCGGGCCTGCCCCACCCGCAGGGAGCGTGACCCCCCGACTCCCCACATCTCCTGCTCACAGCCAACTGAGCCTTCTCTCAGGACAGGCAGCTGGGCCATCATCCCCAGTAGGGGTGACAAGGCCGATCCCCCCCAGCGGGGGCTCAGGCAGACCCCGCCCTCTCTGGGCCTCAGTGTCCTATCCCCAAAATGAAGAGCCACTGGGTCCCCAGAGTTCACAGACTTCGAAGGGGGTGGGGTGAAGGGAAGAGGCCCAGGGTACACAGCGCCGCCCCCCCCTTCCGGAGCCCCCGCCCAGAGACACGCAGCCACGTGCAGGAGGTCCAGCCAGGTTTATTTGGGGGGCGCAGCAATCGCTCCAGACCCCAGCCCCGGCCCCCGGGGCCCCACTCCGGCTGTCCGGCTGGGCTGGGCGGCCGCACAGAGGCAGGTCAGAGGCGCTGCTCTGGAAGAGAGCACAGCGTGAGCCGCATGCATGCAGAAGCTGGAGCCTCCCGCCTGCTGGGATCTGAGGATCACGGGTTGAGGCCAGCCCCTGGGCAGGAAGGCTTTAAAGCAGCCAGGGTCCGTGAGACCCTTATCTCCAATTGACCAGCAAAAAAGCTGGAAGCGGAACTGTTCAAGTGGTAGAGTGCCAGCCTTGAGCTAAACAAGCTAAGGGATAGCACCCATGCTCTGAGTTCAAATCCCAGGACTAGTACAGAGAGAGTGAAAGAGAGACACCCAGGGGCCAGCAGGGACAGCCAGCTCCTGAGGACGGGGCCTGCGGGAGCCTGGGAAAGGCTCGGGGAGAGGGGGAGGTGGGGGCTGAGGCTCAGCAGATGGGGGTGAGAATGGGGAGCTGAACTCACCCTGCGCCCTACCCGTACCCTCTGTGGACAGGGAACCCGTGGTGCCAGCCTCAGTGCAGTCAGGACGCCCTAGTCCTCCCTGCCCCCCCCAGCCATGCCAACCCCCCCGGCGGGCGCTGGGCAGGCCTGCCCCCCCCGCCTCACCTGAGCAGGTGCGCTGGTCCCTGCCCCCCCCAGCCATGCCAACCCCCCCGGCGGGCGCTGGGCAGGCCTGCCCCACCCCCGCCTCACCTGAGCAGGTGCGCTGGTCCTTGTGGAGCTCGTAGCCCGCACGGCAGGAGCAGTAGAAGCCGCCCAGGTGGTTGTGGCAGTGGTGGTCGCAGCGGGGCGCGTCTCCGGGGGGAACGTGGCACTCATCGATGTCTGGAGTGAACAGGGGCCGGGTCGGGAGGCAGGCAGGTGGGTCGCAGCCCGGCCGGGCTGAGGCCAGGCCTCACACAGGCCTGGGGGTTGCTGAACAAATGAGAATTTAAACATCTGCCAACGGCAGCCCAGCTGCCAGGCCATCAACCCGGCGGCGGCCCTGCCGCAACCTGAGCACAGAGAGGTTGAGCCACCTGCCTGGGGTCAGACAGCGTCCCTCAGAATCAGAGAGCACCTGTCAGAGCAGACAGAGGGCAGAGGCTGGAGGGACTGGGCGTGCCTGTGGCGGCCAGGGACCCGGGGCTCACCCTCGGCTGCGTAGAAGGCCTCGAAGCCTGTGAAGGGCCTCTCGTTGGAGTAGTCGGAGCGGAAGGTGACCTCCAGGCTGGGGCCGGGCGAGTAGAAGCTGCTGTTGCCCGGCGCCCGCTCCGTGTCGGTGCTCTCCCAGCCACACAGCGTGGCCAGTACCTGAGTCCCGGCGCTCAGCTGTGGGATCGAGGGGTCACTGGAGGGGAGGGGGGATGCAGCCCCTGCCCGATTCCTGGGCCCCCCGCCCCCAGCCGTCCGTGCTGGCTGGCACCTTGACGAAGTCATACTCGCACAGGTAGGAGAGCTCCAGCTGGAAGTGGGTGAAGTAGAGGCGCAGGCGGTAGCCCGGGGGCGCCGCCAGGGTCCAGCGCTGCTCCTGGTCATTGGGGTACGGCCCCGGGAAGCCAGGGGACGCCAGGCGCCCAAACACGGGCTCAGGTGCCTTGGGGTCCGAGGATGCGGCGGTCAGGGCTCCCAGCAGTCCCGCGAGGACCAGCAGCCTGCGGGAGAGGCCGGGTCAGGGGGCCCGGGCCCGCGGGGGCCCCCCGCCCGCCCGCCGTGGGCCCCCCTCTACCTCATGGCGTCCGAGTCCCGGGCCGCCTCACCTTTGCTCTGTCCGGGTGTCCGGCGCCTGCCCTGCCCCCGCGGACTCCGGCATTCTGGGAAGTGACCCCGTGATGTCTGCTGGCTCCAGTCCAGGTGAGGAGGCCCCGGCCCACGCAGCGACCCAGCCACACACCCTGCCAGGGGCTGGGCTGGGAAGGTGGCTCAGTGGTAGAGCACTTGCCTTGCATGCCTGAGGCCCTGGGTTCGATTCCTCAGCACCACCCACGTAAGCAAAAAGAAAAAAGCCGGAAGTGGCGCTGTGGCTCAAGTGGTAGAGTGCTAGCCTTGAGCTGAAGAGCTGCGGGATAGTGCCCAGGCCCAGAGTTCAAGACCCATGACCACCACCACCAACAATGAACTCAAATAAAAACCAAACAAGCTGGGCGTCAGTGGCTCACACCTGTAATCCTAGCAACTCAGGAGGCTTAGGTCTAAGGATTGAGGTTCAAAGCCAACCCAGACAGGAAAGTCCATGAGACTCATCTCCAATTAACCACCAGAAAACCAGAAGCAGCAGCGCTGTGGCTCAAGTGGTAGCGCACTTGAAAACAAACAAACAAAAAAACAAAACATAGCCAGGTACTGATGGCTCACAGCTGTGATCCTAGCTACTCAGGAGCTGAGATCTGAGGATTGTGATTTGAAGCCAGTTGAGCAGAAAAGTCTGTGAGACACTTTTTTCTTTTTCTTTGCCAGTCCTAGGGCTTGAACTCAGGGCATGGGCACTGTCCCTGACCTTTTGATCAAGACTAGTGCTCTACCACTTGAGCCACAGTGCCACTCTGGCTTTTTCTATGTAGGTGGTGCTGAGGAATGAAACCCAGGGCCTCATGCATGCAAGGCAAGCGCTCTACCACTAAGCCACCTTCCCAGCTCTCTGTGAGACTCTTATCTCCAATAAACTCCTCCAAAAAAAGCTGGAAGTGGCACTGTGGCTCAAGTGGTAGAGCGCTAGCCTTGAGCTGAAGAACTGAGGGACAGCGCCCAAGCCCAGAGTTCAGGCCCCAAGACTCACAAAAAAAAGGGGGGCTGG